AGATAATAAATGTTTTTTTTTTTTTTTTTTTTTTTTTTTTTTTTTACCTTACTACTTCCTTTTTATGTGTTCTTTCCATCATTGAACTGGGGTCATTTTGCCCTACTACATGGTACATGCGCCCATGCATTCCTATGTGAAATCTCCCTTCTTTTCCTATTCCCTATCTCTCCACCAAATATTGATGATGGATTCGGAATCACCCTGTATATACGTCTGTACTGTACGTACAAATGTAACAAAAAAAAAAAAAAAAATCCAAATTTAGCAATTTGGAGGATCGATCAAAATGGATATTTTTGTTGAACTATGATACCCGAAATTTTTCACGATTACAGGCTTCCTTTACTTCGCACAAGGAAGTAAAAAGGAAAGGGGGAAAAAATTAAAGGTCAATTTTCTAGTGCCATGTCATGTGAAGACAGGAATTTACAAAGCCCTATTTGTTGAAAAGTAGGCCAAAAGGTTCACAGACAAAGGCTTTGCGATTGGATGCTTTACCGTGGGTGCACAATTCATGACTTATATGCCACAATTTAAATCGACTTCTGATTCATACAAACCCTTAAAACACTCAAATGATACTCTTTATTAATAGCTTCGCCAATACAAGGAATTACGTTGCACAACACTTAAGCAACTCAAGAAAATAGTCAACATGCCCTTGAGTTTTGACTGACTGCTTGCTGTTTGTTTTGACTTTTCGATTTTACTTCACCTTCGAGCACCATTCATTTGATTAGCTGAACTCTATTCTGTATCAAAAATGTAATTCCACGCTCAGCAACATTAACAATGAGGTTTTAAAGAAGGACTTATCTTTAGAAAGCATCTTCCAGACAACTTGAATCCTTCGAAAGTTTCGGAAAAATTTCCACATTTTTAAACAATTTGAGAAGTGACGCACCACAACCACAAAGCATCTTTCAGAACTGCTTGACCACATTCAAATGATATGTGAATTTTCTTAATAATAATATCGTTTATTGTTAAAGGACGATTGTTAAACGTTAAATCTCTTAAACGTTAATCTTAATTTGATCGATGTGTTTGTTGTTCATTAACTGAAGGTCTGTTACAGCATGGTCCATTTTCAGCGCATTCTCTGCATTCCTTAAACAATTTTAAATTCCTTAAACTTATTTTTTAATAAATTATTGTTCTCAAAGGCTCTTTTCAACATTTTAAACGTTTCTGCAGCAGAAATTTCGTTGAAAAACAAAATTTTAATGCATTTCCTTTGCTCATTTTATGTTCGTCATTTAGGGCAATCGCTAAAACAAAAATTCTTTACTCGTTAAAAAGGAATTGATTTAAACAGACATGAAATGCAAATTGTTGCCAAATGTCGATGACAGTCGTAACAACTTCTAAAAAAACTTTTTAAGGAATTTCTTGTATACTGCGGGAAAAAAAAGGGGGGGGATAGTTCTATATCTCTCGTTCTACTGGGCCGATTGACAAAATTCAAATTGCGTTTTCCATATTTCGAATCTAGGACTCAAATTACGCCTAGCTATTAAATTTTGTAAAATTTGGTGCGAAATTTAAGGAGAAATTCAAAAATGTATCTTGGCGCATTTTTTTCAGTTCGCGCCAAGAATAATTCAGTTGGCGAACTTCTTAATATATGGCAAGCAATTTTCCATTCCCTCCTATTATGCCGAAGAAGAAAAAAAAGCACCTTGTTCCTACCATTTTACATTGTGCATATGAGCTGAAAAAAAGATCTCATCGTTCCTCCTTTCAAATAATTTTAACAAAGTGCCTAAACCACATTTGATATTTTGTGCTTTCAACAAATATGACAAATTTCAAAACGCGAAAATATATAAATTCACGTGTATCTTCGGAAATTTTGAATAAAAACTGTATAATCTTTTGCAGGTATACTTAGAAATATGTCTACTTTAAGATGATGGTAAAATTTTTACAGATTATAATTCAAAAATGTTTTTGAAAAATTTATAAAAATTATTTAAAAATAAATCATAAAAAAATGGGCGAATTTTATTTGGAATGAACCTAAATTTCGAAATGTGAAAGGTACAATCAAATAAGTTTGATAAAAAATAAATAGTAATAAATATATACCAAATTCAATTAGCATGAAGGAGCCAAAATTTTGAGAACTGATTTTTTAAAAACTACTTGTGCGATTTTTACAAAAATTGGCAATCTGGCATAATTCAAGCCCTAGAATCGAAATATGGAAAAAACACCAGACTTAAAAATATATTTCTAAAACATATAACTCGCTTTTTCATCAACAGAGGGCAGCATATCACCAAAATTAAGATGCAGAAAATATTTCGCGTTGCCTATTTTGAAAAACTAAATTTAAATGAAAAGCAGGAAGACTACAATGCAATCAGCAGCCTAAAACAACTCAACTCATGGCGTCATTAGTTACGCCCCCTCTTGTGATGTCATCAATGACATTGCATATTGCACCTGCCCCGTTTGATTCACACATTTTTTATTTTACATATATATATATATGTATATATGAAATTGGAAATATGTAAATTAGAAGTTAAATTAGCAACAGCCCCATATTCCTCATTTTAATCTGGGCACTTCCCCTTTCTATTCTAAAAATAGTAATAATTTTTTCTGGACTGAGTCATTTCTAGATTAATCATATAAAATGATTTTTACATAACGATGGTAGTGTAGCTCATTCGGAAATTAAATCGAAAACCTCTCTCTTAATAAGCTTCCATACTGAATAACTTATCGGTCTAGAAAGCCTGCTGCTTGTTCTATTCGTTCTCATACAGTGCCAAGCTATCAAAAATGTAAATGTTTCAAAATAGGCATGATCAGTGTGTCAAGTACACTGTGACCGCAAATATCAATCGAAATAAAAAGGAATATTTAATTTGAGTATGCAGCCAAGTTTGCTCATTCTGAAGTTGATAAACTTTGATGATGATGTACCAAGAGAAACAAATTCTCTATATTTTTTTGTATTGGGGACGGATTCATGTAGTTGACAATTTACAATGCTGGACACGTTTATTTTATATTTTTTCACAGTGGTTTACTGCATTTTTTGCCAGTTCCTTATTTTATGTTGAACACAGTATTGGGTTTAAATAATTTGTTTACTTTATCACTATATATATATAATTCTAAATACATTACATGAGAGAAAAACAGCAACACTATGGAAAAGTAAGTAGAATGTGAAAAAAACTAGCAGCCAGCCAGAGAATGCATATATATGCATATATAAATAAGTAATTCAAATTCAAACAGATAGTATAGTATAACAATTGAATATACGAGTACACAGTGATCAGTAGAAAATTAGAAAGAAGGACACAACCTTTTGTGGAAATGCAAGAACTAAACCTTTGAGGTACTGATGAAATCAGAGTACAAAAGTGTCCTGAGGGATGAATGACCATATACATTCCCCATACATATTCCCCAATTCATTCTCTAATTGAGGCTGGGCAAATCAAGCGAACAATCACCAATCACTCTAGATCAGTCTGAGATGGCCAAGTAAGCATCTGGGTACAGTCCAACTACCAGTCTTAGACCTCTAGATAAAAGTGTGAAAGAAAGTTTGGTTCTCATTTTAGGAGACAAACGAATGTTCCAATATTTCCAATAATGACTGAACTAAAATTTTCTTTATTATTTACGGGAAACATTCTGGCCTTTTCTATGGGTGATCTTTGTTTGCATGTTCCAATTTAAGAAATGAATCAACTAAAGCAGCCTTAAGACTATGAAAAATTTGATCACATGATACGTTTCTCAAAGCCAAATCAATCATACCTTTCTTTAAAATTAAATGCAAGCACAGTGCCTTTTTTAATGCTTTATTTAGTATTTAAAAATGAGAGAGTGCAACACTACCTTATCAAAACATGAATTAAACTGACACATATTGGAGAAACTGACTTATCTTTCTCACAAATGGATTCAGTTATTTTGCTCATGTAACAGATGTATCACAGGGATCAGCTTAATGCAGTTAGGTAGTATCTGGCAGGATTTTTTGCTGATATTTGTCATATGCATTAGGGAATTATCTTGCCAGGAAGCAGGGTAGTAGAACCAGCTGCAGAACTTCACCCACATACTATTATGGTACCACTACTGAGCTGTATAGTATCCAACAGTCGCAGCACTACTGAACATGTCTCCACATCATCTCTAGCTATTTATTCAGATGTGACACTTGTCCACACACTACCCTGTGCAATTCAGTCATCCAAGAAGCTATGTTCCAAAATCCTGGCTATTGTTCCCATTTGTAGCTTTGCTTCCAGGATAGTGTTCATAAAAGGCAGCAAGCTGTCATTAAGCAATCATCTGGAAATTCTTCTTGCTGATATTGAATCATCCAAAGTTCCTTGCAAATTCTGCATAACACTGAAAGTCCTGCTTTGTGGGCTAATACCACATGTTTCAAATGCATCGATCTAGGCATGACATCTATGTCAATGCACTGGTGCTAATGCCATGATTCATCTTGCCTTGTTCAATCCACTTTCTCCAAATTCTTTGCACAGTACATGCATGTAGTGTATTTCAGCTGCAATATGATAGGATAAACCAAACATTTGTAGATTCGAAGTGAAGCCCACATAAAAATGCCTGATTACTGAAACTGACTTTGATGGCATTTCTTCATTTTCTAGCTGTATTTTAAGAAAGTTAAATTATAAATCAAATAAATGTTAACCGACAAATTTATGATTAAATATCAGTATTAAAAATAACATTTCTTTAGATTCATTATTTTAAAACAACCTAGACAATACCTATCACATATATTTTTCAAAACAAACAAACAAAAAATAAATAAATAAATAAATAAATTTAATGTGAGAAATATTTAAATAAAAGTAAGTCAAAGAACGAATCTAAAAGAGAGGCACAATCTTGCTCTACTTGCCATGATGAATTTCGTGGGCTTGTTCTGATGTTACCGTCAGACAAGTGAGACAAGTCACAACACAAGAATCTAAAACATATACTTGATTTCAAATTTCTTTATCATTTATAACTTTCATGTTTTATTTACAGAGTGGAAATTTTTATCTCAACTGTACAGGCATCATAACCAACAGAAATAAGCTAGAAAATACAAACTACACACAAAAAGCATGAAACCGAAATTAAACTTGTGATGAATGAAGTTAGAAATTCAAGCAATTATTTCCCCTTTAATAAGCACTGCCAGAATATTTATGTAACAAAAAGACAGCTGATTATTTTTATACATATTCAATAGTATATAAAATACAAATTTATAAACTTACTTAACCTGACTGAATAATTAGTTACAATAATAAATAAAATATTTTAAACTATAAACTTAACATAAATACGTAAAGCAAATTTAAAATGTTTGCTATATTTCATGTTTTCATAAAATTATAAAATATAAAATATACTTGAAAAGAAAACAGGTAATAAAGATATTATGCTATAAAGACTGCATTAAAAGTTCCTATTGGATATTAAAAAATATACAATTTATCTTAAACTGTTGGAAAAACATATTTATTTTCACTCTCATATTATTTCCTTCCATCATTACAGATTTCAGATAAATTATGCATACAACTGCACTTTAATTTACACTAAGATGTACAAATTATAGCTTTATGTAATATGTCAATTAAAAAAAAGTTTCAGCTGTGTCAGATTTCAAGTATTTTCATTAACACAAAACATATGATTTTACATATTCAAAATTTAAAAAGAATAGTTCATGAATAACTAATATGAAAAGAATTCACAGGATATTAAGTCGATACTGATTTGTACCTTTATGAATTTCATATGCAATCTGATATAAATGTTTTAACCTTATAATATACAGAAGAAGAATTAACATAAATTCTTCACTAATATAATTTTACATTTAAATCTATTATTTCGGTTATGCATATACTTTCACTACACAAAATTTATATTATTAAAAGTTATTATCACATTAAATGCCACATTAATTTTTTGTTTGGTCTAAGGCTGATCCCTAGGACTGACACAGCATTTGACATGTTACTCGATTACGTAATGTGCTATCACACTGATTTCAATGTTAAAGTTGAACTTAAATTTCATACCTTAAAATTAACATCAAAATATGAGACCTGAAAAGTTAACAAAAAGATCAGAAAATCTGCAGAATACAACAGCATAAAGAAAAGAATTTATTCATTTAGTGCTTTTTTACAATAGTTATCTTTCTGGACTTGCAGTTTTAACTTCTCTATTACACCCTGTATTACAATGCTTTTCTGTTTGGATGTCAATAATAGAAACATTCACTGTCATTAAAGTGGAATTATATATTTAAATATACGTACAAGGTGTCTCAGTGCCATGTTCCAGAACTTCTAGGAGGTGTAGGGTGTACCCGAATGCTTTTCTGATGTGGTAGATAGCACTGTTTCAAGACTTTTTGCAGGGAATCATCACTTCATACAAGGATGCAGAGTTATTAGGATGAATAATTATATGTATGTTAGCCGATATGCATTTAGTATATGGGGGCTGCTGATTGTAGTGGGTCAGCCACACAGCTCTTGTACATGGAACGATATTCTGTAAGGCATACACCCAGCCATAATTTCTTTGCAAGGCTATACGAGAGGTAAGCTGAAACAGGCTCTTTTCAAAGAGCTACCATGAATCAGGCACAATCAGCACAGACTTCGGACATCAAAGAGAATGTGTTACATCTAGTACATGGGACTTAAAGTTTGAGTACGTAAATTCTAGCGCAAGCAGACGGGGCTTCCCGTTTGGAGGATTTTCAGAGAAAATGAAATGCATCTATATCACGTACAGCATATCCAGACACTTAACCAGGCAATTATTCACCTCATACTGCTTCTGCACAATGGTATCTTGAAAACTGTGCTATAGATCACCATTCCCCTGTTAATGTGTTCTTCACCGATAAAGCATTCTTCACAAGAAAAGGAGTATTCACTGCATGTAAAGCCCATCTAATGGGTGGTAGAGAATCCTCTTGCAAATCAACATTGTGCAGCACACAGTCGGTTTTCGGTTAATGTTTGGACTGGCATTGTAAGGGATTATCTCGTTACCTTGTTGTCTAATTGGCTATAAATACTTAATCTTTCTGCAGCAAGTCATACCACAACTTGTAGATGACAAACAGATTTCTGCATTGATGTGACAAATAATGTGGTTCCAACACGATGTGGGGCCCTGCCCATTTCAACCATAACATTCATACCCACCTAGACATCACATTTGGCCAGCAATGGATCGTATGAGGTAGTTTGGTGCATTGGCCTGTTCAATCACTGGACCTATCATGACTCAATTTTTTTTTATGGGGGCATATGAAGACACTGGCTTACGACACCCCATTGACAATGCCGAGGAGCTGTTGCACGAATCACAGTAACTGCCAGAAAAATTCAAGATATGCCTGGAATATTCCAGAATTCCATGCGCCGTAGATATGATGTATGCATTGTAGTCAATGGACAAAACTTTTAATACTATCTTTGACTCATGTTACTTTTGTTCATAAAAATTTATTATTAAAACGAATATAAACTTACCAAGTTTCTTTTAATTTCTGATGTTTCTGTGTACACCAGCATGTCAGGAAAGCAGTTCCAACCCTGCACTGCTATATCATTCCATATCACCACGCTGCACCCAATCCTGCAAGAAGTTCTGAAGCATGGTACTGAGACACAATGTATATATAAATTTTTTTGATACGTCAACCCTCTTCAAGAAATCAGCAAAAATTTAATTACTTTTTTTATGTACAGTAAGACCTTGCTTCAAACTGTTTTGCTGAGTGGCGTTTCAGTTTAATGCTCTTTTATTTGAATTGTGGGATTCCCCGAACTTGCACACAGCATTACGCCAAAGAACATCTAAGTAAAGAAAAAAATGTTCTATAGACGTGTAAACCAGTTTGCTATCAATAAAGAGAAACAATCAATAAGAGAGTTTTTGAAAAACTGCAATATCATGAACGCTGTAGAAAACATTAACCTTTCTTGGAATGAGGTAACAGAAAAATGTTTGAAAGGGGTGTGGAAGAACATTTGGCCAGATCTAAGTGAGGGCAGTAGACACTCTGTCGATGTGAATGGAATAGTGGAATTAGCAAAACAACTGGTTTAGATGAGGTAAATGTGGAAGATGTCGAAGAAGTAATGCAAGAAACAGCAGTAAGTCTTTCTAATGATGAGCTCAAGAAATTAGTGGGCCAAGAAGAACAAAAAACTATTGAAAGTAGTGATTCAGAAGAAGAGCAAAAAGAACTTTCAACAGCATTTCTAAAAACCAGTTTGACCACTATAACAGAAATTATGGATCAATTTATTGAAATTGACCCAAATTTTGACAGGAGTTCAAAAGCAAGACAGGGTGTTATGGATGCCTTATCCACTTACCAACAACTTCTTACAGAGTACAAAAGGAAAACTCATATTACATTAGATAACTTCTTGATAAAAAGGCAGAAAATTGGAAATACAGAAGAGATTGAATGATCTGAAATGTAAACATATTGACTTAGAATTTTATTTATTTTTATACGTATATTCCTTTATTATGTTTCTATAATTTTAAGAAATAAATTTTTGTTTTATTGTTATAAAAACATAATTAATAAATTTAATGGTAAAATACCTGACCAGTTTACTACCCATCTTCCCCTAACCCCATTATTTACATGATGAGATAACCTCGTTTAATGCTGTTTCATATTGCACTCTACTTTGATGGAACGTATACCTGCATTAAGCAGGGTCTTACTGTACGTTATGTTCTACCTTACTTTTATGTATGTACTATTCTTTTTTTTTTTTATGCACGTACTATTCTTTTTTATTTTTTAAAATGTATGATTTTAATGCATATCATTGCAAATTAAGCTTATTACAAGTTTTTTAGCAGTTTTAGTATAGTCCTCCTAATATTAATATTTCCTAATTTCAGTTTGCAATAGTTTTAAGTTTCCTTTTCTAGGAGATAATCATAAACATAAAATTAATAATTATATATATCATTTACAAAGCAATTTTCTCGATGCATATTTTTTCCTCTCTCTTCCAAGCCAAGAAAACTATGCCCCACTTTATCTCAATTTCTTCAACTTGATTTATTTTCCTTATATTTTTCCTTTTGAAATAGTAAGTTATTTTATTATGAAGTAAATTATGGATCTTGTTAGAGTATATTTCAATCAGAATAGATTCTCATTTTTAATTTAGTAAACTGCTCTAGAAAATAAATAAAGTACTTCCTTCGCTTTCTTTGATTTTCAGATTACCTAGTTTCATAGAAACTGAAACTTATAGGGAAAATTTTTAATACATAATAAAACATGTAACATTAGAATATAATTATTTTTAAATTAGTACATCAAACCATTATTCAGAGGCATTCTCTGAAAATGAATTTGCACATTTACAGTCATCAACTCTTAAAGTAATGAAAGAACATTAGATATCTTTAAATTTTTAAATAGAACTTTGTTCATTTAGCCCAGAAAAATTTAAATAAATACATATAATCAATCAGAATTAGTGTTCACTCAACTGATTTTAAAAGTTCAAAACTCAGTTAAGTTACTTCTTAATTTACAATGATTATCAACATTCAAAAATTCCCAATAAAGGCTGCTGTTAAATATTGTCATGGATATTTTGTGATAAATAGATGCTAGTCATGGTTATTATTATGATTTTTGATAGAAGGCAAAGTCAATACAAACATAGCTAGCAAAACATATTTATCTTAATTTAACAGCCAAAATCAACAATATATGCTATTAAAAAGTATGATTCTCTCACATCTTTTAAAAGCAAAACTTAGTTACATTCATCAGCATAAAACCAAAACAAAAGTATTGTTCAGTTTCCTGAAATGGGAGAGTTAGCTATTTTTGGAGAATACTTTTATTAACAAATAATTTCAAAAACAAAAATGCATTAAATTCAACACCTAACAGAAGTGACTTCACTGATACATTTTTTAATTTTATACAACTTCTTAAACAACCATCATGCTTTCAAAGGTATAAGTATTTTTAAAATTTTATATCAGTACTGTCTGAAAATAATAAAAATTAACAAAAAACTTATAAATTAGGGAGGTTGAATGAAGGACATACATTTAATAAAACTCATGATGCCCCCTTGCTCAATGCTTAAAATCTGCTGACCCAATATAACCACATTAATAAAAAATCCCTCACATTATACGAGAATGCACATAAGACTTCTCTTTTTAATTAGTGACACATTTACACTAAGAATTAATTCTTTTTTAAAACTTAAATTGAGGCACTTTAATTTTCATTAAGGCAAAAACACATATTACATAGGCTTAGATTTATTAAAATACATTTCATGAAGAGTCAAGACATAAATCTATGTTAACTGATGGAATGTTTGATTAAATAAGAAAGAAAATAGATAAATTCTACATTAATTCTACAGTTATTAGAAAATTAAAAATAATTTTTCCAGGAGAGAAAAGTTTTTATACTTAATGTATTTATTCTTCACAACTAATGAAATGATGTGAAATCAACAGCAATATCATAATTTTATAAATCATTAAGAACTTTTCTTAAGATGCACAAATTTAGAAAATAAACACCTTTTTTTTAAACATACAAAGTAAAATTAATACAACCTCATACTCTGAGAAAAAAATTAAACATAACAAAATTTCATTATGAATATTTCTTTAATTCTTTTCAAGAGAAAATGAATCCTTCTATTCATAAAAAGGCAACATAGACATGGCTTTCTAAATATCCATAATTTAAACATATATGAAATTTCATAGTTTTTTTTTTTTAAATTTAAAATGCACAATTATATAAAAAAAGATAAATTTTCCATAAAGAAGACTTTAGTCAACAGAATTTAATAAAAAAATTTAAAATTTAATCACAATTAGAACATCTGCAATATTTTGAGTCAATAAAAGAATACTTAAAAATTTAAAACAAACAGATTCCACATATTTAAGAAGCAAAGCAGAAAAGAAATTAATACAATATTTTGTTCATTTCAAAATAAATAATTTATTTGACAATTAAAAAGACCTAGACTACTGATTCTATAAATTAAATTAATCAATATATCTTTATGATCAAATTGGGTTTCTTATATTTACACAACCGATTTCACCATTTACTCTCAACTGAGATTATAAAACATATTTCCAAGACAACAAACAGGCATAACATTTTTGCTTATGAAAAAGAGCTGTACATTGCTAAAGTACAAGAGCAGTCTTTGGAATGTGTGCAATGATCAAGTTTTTCAAATTCAACAAACAGTATCACTACCATAGAATGGCACTTCAGATCACTGTGTATTTCATATCAAAGGCATTTTTTGTGCTTCTAAACATTCTCCAGAGTCAACTTAAAAATTTCCTTTGTGATGTCTGTATTTTAAGTATCAGTCAACTAGCTGAGATATTGCAGAAAAATAAATCTGTTTTCTCAACCACTATGTAAAATGTTATGTCTGACTCTGAGATGCTGATAATGGACGATCTATGAAAGAAAAAATAAAGTGAAAAAACTCATTATATTTGGAAACAAATAAATATCACTTAAAAAATCATCAATAATATAAACTTCTGAGGCTCAAAATGTATATGCACAAATAGGATCCATTTTCAAATTTCTCAGTAACTTTAATCACTAGATAATTCTCACTATTTTCTCTAAACTATTATTTGATTACATAAAAATGTCATCTATTACAGAAAATTAATTGGCCTCTTATTAACCAACTTGAGAATTTGTTATAAGGAAAATGGGGACACTTAATTTTTGTTTCAGATATCATTCAACATTAACTCAAAATTCAATTTTAAATGCTTCCCAATTAGATATTGGTTTTAAAAAAATCTTACTAAAAAAATATCAGTATTGAAAGCTTACCTCTCAGTGAGATCTGTGGTGAACTGTGGGGGGACATATCTTCAGCAGTTGATTGACTTACTGTTCGACTTCTTATGCTGGAACTGTATGCACTTCCCTTGCTATGGGCATCCAGTAAAGCAGCAGCTAAATTGGGAACACCTCTTGAACATGCACTATCTGCTCGACTGGGTGGTCCTGAATACAACACTAAATTTAGCAAAATAAAGAAAATTTTAAGTATGATTTTTTTTTTTTTTAAATTCATAAATGTTTAAAGGCTATTCAAAGACTACATTATTAACCTTTATTTAACACTATATACTTGTTTTCAATTAAACCAATATTAATCAGTACTTATTATCATTTAATATTTTGCAAATGAAACTTTGCCCCCCCCCCTGCAACAGATTCCACAATTTAGAATTTGTCATTCCATTTCTTCAAGACAGATTGTGTTCAAATAATATCTCATGAAATTAAATATGACTTAGAGCTGAAATGGCTATGGAGCTCTCATTCCTGATAGGAATAGGGGAAAAAAAAAAAAAAAAGATGATGTTCAAAACACAAGCACTGTCTGTTGGATCACACATTCCTTTCATGACTGCCAATTCATTTACTTCTGGTCTTGGGAATTAATACCTATTGAACTTTGTGTGCCAAGCCCTTACTACATGTGAATCTCAACACAACATTTGATTAAAATGAATACATCAAGCGGTATGTGCTAATTCCTTGTCATCTTATCCAAATGTTAAAATTGATGACCACTACAAAACTGTGAAAATCAATGAAAGCTCATTCACAATAAGAAATAATAATAATGTATGCCATGTTCCTATGCCACAATGGATTTTCAAAGGATATTGTGAAATTAGAGAATGGTTCCTTGTTTCTGTTCTTGATCATTCTGTTTCATCTAGTTTCAAGCCAAAGGAAAAGAAAAAGAAATGAGCTGAAATGTACCAATGGTGCTGAAAATACATTATACATCTTTAACTGAGAGTGCCACATATTACCATAAGCAGAGATGTTAAGCTTATATTTGGTTAATATATAACACATAAAAGCAAAACAAAACTTGAAAGGAGGTGACTGCTTTACCTCATGCCTGATAAAACCTGTTTAAATATTTTTTCAAAATATTTAAACAAGACTTAGGTGATGTGGTAGGTCCTGCTATATTAACTGCTTAAAATTAAAGTTTTTACGCACCTGCTGAAAAGTTATTAGAATATTTTCCCAAAAAACTTTAGTGAAAAGTATGGTAGAATTCCTATACATTTTACTGACATAATATTTCTTTGAATTTTATTTTTCTACAAAAACAATAAAATTATCATTACATTTTAAGAGTTTATAACTAAATTAATTTTCTTTTAAATATGCGTATTTAAAAAAGGAGAATTTTTCAGGATATTCCAATATATTTAATATTTCTTTCTGTTTCTTTCCTTTAGCTGATAGCTCTAGACAAAAGAAGCTCCAATCACTACGTAGCAAAAATTTTCATTGGATTTTTACATACTAATTTTTATTTATATGTCATGACACAGAATTAGCTAATTAACAATATATTTTGCTTCCTTTTCTGAGTACCTGTGTGTTAAAATTACAAAACAGATTATTTCACACAATAAATAGCAAATAATTGTCTGTTTTGTTACTGTTTTTATGATAAAGATACAATTTTTGAGTTAATTTTCTTTTTCATTTCAATTTTGTTTCATATTCATCCTAAAATGCTAATAATGTTTATGTTATTGGGGGAAAAAACTGAAATTTAGTTTCAGAATCTACCTGAATTCATAAGTATGAAAGAAGGTCTCATAGCAAATACACAATAATATATATATTACCAAACAAAAAAGGTACATACAAAGCATACAAATTAAATTCGTTAAATTATATAGAAAATTAGACTATTTTAATTAGTTATATAACAGTGCTATGTATGAATAAAATATAAGTATACTATATAAATAATATAAAATACATGTATACTAATATAAATATGAAATAAGTTAAATAGTTTTTTTACTTCTTCCATTTCAGCCAAAGAAACCTATTTCTTGTGGTTGGTTTTTCCCACTGCGGAAGAAACATGCCAACTCTAAAATGTCTTAGCAACATATTATATTCGTGGAGAAAACATTGCCCACAAAAAGATAAAGAAAGATAAAGGGCACTGGTTTATAGAAATATAAAGATAGCAAATCATACTGTTATCACTAAGCATAAGATCAGCACAATGGAAGTGACTACACAGTCCAATATGTATTTATAGTAATCAATTTCTCATTAAGTACTGCAAAGCAAATTTCATTTCTTCTATGTATTCTTATGATGAAGTGTAAATAATGAAAGAAATCAAGACATTCAATCTGTACTTTCTTGTGGTGCAAAGGTTAACATTAATTTGACACACTGAAAATCCCATCTTCAGCTTGTGGAAGAAAAGTGCTTACTTTCAAATACCCATAAGTTCCTCCAGCTATTTAAAATGACAAAAATTATAACCATATATATGCATGTCATGGAGCTCCATAAATTTAGAAGAGCTCCGATTGTAAAGCTTTTCATAATCAAGCGGAATGCAAAATGAAGACAACAGTGATATCAGAAGCGTAAAAGCGAGGCTACCAATCAACAAAAACAATAATGGATGTGATCTGATAATTTAAACTTCAAAATATTAGTCTCTATATATAAGTTATACCCTTTATGCAGTTCTGTCATTTTCAGGAACTTCCTTATCCTTAACCCTTTCAGGGGAGCAATGTTATGATTTTTTAAAAGTTATGAAAAAGTAAGCATAATGACATGCAATGGTCCTATAGACCAGTGGTGCGCAAACCTTTTCCAACTTCGACCCCTTTTGTAGAGAGAAATTTTTGGCGACCCCTAGAGATAAATGTTCACAAATACGATGTATATTTCGCGCATTTCTTTCGTTTCGAATAAAAACATCATCATATCTGACTCGTATCAATTTTATTTATAATTTTAAGAAAATACTTTTTGTATAACACAAAAATCAGTAAATTGCCCTTTAATGAGACGTATGCAAGTTTCTAATTATCTCATCGATGTTTGGATGTACATTGCTAATTGCAATTTGCATATCATCTTCAGGGTTTAAACGCGAGCGGTATTTAAGTTTTATTGAAACTAGTTTGCTAAATCCAGTTTCACATAAATACGTTGATGCAAATTGTATTAACACTCTGATGGCATTCTTGCATAAAACGGGATATTGTTTTTCCACAGATAGCCAAAATGTTTGGCAAGGCTGAGTCTTAAATTGATTTCAAAGAGTATAATCACTAATTAGATCTATCAATTGCTCTTTCTCACTAATTTGAAGAGTTGAACTGCATATGTCAAAGGAAAATGGATCACGAATCCAACCAAGATGGTTTTCAGGAAAATCCTCGAATCTTCTCGAAAAATTTTCCTTTAACTTTTCAATGTAATTGGAAACGATGTTTTTAAATGTAAATATAATCTATATTATTTTCCTTGATAAAAAATAGTTAAAGCAAGGGAACATGTCGGTGTTGTTTTTTATTCAGTTCAGTTTGCCAGAGACTAAGCTTATTCTTAAAAGCTTGAATTTTACTGGCTTAAGTTATGATAGTTGAATTCTCACCCTGCAAGCTCAAATTTAAGTCGTTAAGTTTTTCGAAAATATCAAATAAATAGCTCAGCTTCCCTAGCCAAACTTCATTGATATAATAACTTGCCAATCTATGTTTCTTTTCGATTAAAAACATATACACTTCATTTCTCAAATATCCGTCATAGTATTTTCCCACGTGAAAGCCATCTGACTTCGGTGTGTAACAGTAATCTCTCATACGTTGAGCACATCTCATTGCAAAGTATTGAAAAGAGACGGCTGTTGTGGCTGTTGCATTTAATGTAGTTAATTGAACTAACAGCGTCTTATTATATGTTGTGCAACTCTTCATCCATATCTTTTGCAACAAGAGCTTGCCGATGAATCATACAGTGATTAAATACCATATGAGGCGCCACCTTCTGAATTAAGCCTCTGAGCCCTTTATTCGAACTTGTTAATGCTGCAGCACCATCAGTACAAACCGCAAAACAGTTTGCCCAGGTAAGGGACTTTGTTTCAAAATATTCATTTATTACTTCGAATATTTTTTCTCCAGTTGTTTTTCCTTCCCAAACTTTTGCAACATAAAAACATTTCTGTTATATCTTCATTAAAAATAAACCTAACGTAAATAATTAGTTGTGACATGACATTTTAGTAATATCGGTAGTCTTCGTCCAGTTGTAAAGCAAATACAGATGAATTTTGTATGCGTTTTATGACTTCTGACTCGATATTTCGTGACATTTCGGAAATCCGCCGAGACACGGTATCTCTTGATAATGGTATTGTTTTTAGTTCATTTCCATATTTATCACCATGCATAATTGATGTCATCTTAGTTGCTGCAGGAAGGATAAGGGATTCTCCAACTGTATGGGGTTTCATTGTTTTTTTTTTTTTTTTTTTTTTTTTTTTTTTCATTGTTTTTCCTATTAGATAAGAAACTTCTAAAGAAGCTCGTAATGCTTTCTGAGGTATTGTTGTAAATTTCTTTAAATGTGCACTTTGAATTTTCAGATTTTCAGCTCGTCTTTGAAAAAAAATCGGCATGTTTATTTTGAAGTTCTTTATGTTTAATTTCCAGGTGCCTTTTTAATTTAGCTGGTTTCATGCTCTCATTTGCTAATTTTTCGTTGCAAATGACACATATTGGGCAAATGACACATAACAAATAAAATAATAAAATTTTTATCATTTTTTTTTCGGGAAATTCAATAAAATTAACAGAGATCTTTCTCTAATGATAGTACATACCTGATAACAAAGAGTAGCAAAGCCCGATAAAAATATAAAAAATCATAATTACACAACTTCACACAATAAAACTTGAGGATAAACAAAAAAAAAAATTGCAGGCCAACAGCTACATGCTACAACTTCATGCGAACACTTCACGTCTTCACTCTGACTATCAGATACACTGCGTACCTCGCCATCTGATTGGCTGATCACGGAAGCGAATTTTTCCTCTTTCCCTGCGGTTAACGTCTAGTCAAATAGGCGCTTTACAGTAAAACTGGCAAATTATCGCGAAGAGGGCGCTATCTACCAGAGTGAAAAACTTGCGTCTTCATACTTTACGTACATTACTCATTATGGTCAAAGAAAGAGCGGACAGCATGAAATTGCAATTAAACAGTGAGTGACGGCGCTTCACTCTTTATATGTACACTGTATGGTATGCAGCATGCAGGCATAATGCATTTCATAAAAATTTGGCAACCCCCACAGGGGTCGCGACCCCTAGTTTGCGCACCACTGCTATAGACAACATAAATGAGTTTTAAAAAATTTTTTTCGTCCCCCTTTATGGAAAGGGGACTGGTTTCGCCTTGAAACCAGCGCCCGTCTAGAGCATTTAAGACTAAACATTTGCTTATTTATCTTTACTTTGCTGAAAAGTATCTGAACATAACCCAAATTGCAGATTATACTAGTAAATTACTGAACAACTAATGAAGTAAGTAATATTTGCATAAACATGCATTTTTAATTATAAATAAAAAATTTAAAACAGGAAACAAAAAAGTATGAGACAAAAAGTAACTAATAATGCACTAAATTACTTGCACAAAACTATGAAATATTTTTAAAAATTATATTTAAAACGAAGAAAATTATATGTAAAAATAAAATAAGTTAAGATGCATACAATTATTTTACTAGGAACTAGAGGCATGAGAAAAGCAACCGCTAAGAGAATCATAATAAAAACGCAACTGTGAGTGTTTTTCAGTGTGCTCTGTGTCTGTGTAAAAAATAAGAAATGTTTTCCCTCTCTCAAAAGCTCCATAAATCCTCATCTTTGAAGCCACTCAAATGAAGATATTGTGCAACTGTTTACAGCAGTGATCCGAAAGCAATAAACACAATTGCAAAAAATCTCGCGACTGCGTCATCTGATCCTTTCTTCGATGTCTCAGAGGGGCGGTGGTTTCATACTGAAACCGCAATGAAAACATTCAAAATTAAAAGGGTTCCATTACTTTTTTTTTGTGAACTAAGGACATTTCATTACTCATTGATGCCTGCTTATAAAATATATTGTGGAAAAATTAAATATTTTTGGGTTTTTTGTTTTTAAAATGAGTCAAAAAGAGTAGTGTGCAAAAGAAGCTATTTTTGAATGATTCGTATCAACTAATGGATGCCCAGAAAGGTTTGCTGCTGCCATCTGTTATCAGCTTTAAGACCTAATTTAATTTTAGCAGCGGTTTTGTGAGGGGAAAAAAAAAAATTTTCTAAATTAAAAAAAAAATGTTGAAAATGCGGTTTCAAGGCGAAACCACCGCCCCTGAAAGGAATCCTTAAAGGAAAAACTGGCTGGTAAGAACTATGACTATACTGGCAAACCTCATACATTCAATAGAAAAAGTTTTTCTTTTCTTTCTCTCTCTCTCTTCACCCCCAAGAGATAACAAGCCCCCAGGATCTTTCATGATGATAACAAGTCACAGCATATAGTAGAAAATGTCTAATCATGATTTGAAGAACAATGAAGACCAAAAAGAACAGCTTCCCTAGATTGCCAATTACTAGATTTAGAACATTAATGGAGTTGCAGTGAACTGTGCTGAAAAATAAAGTATTCTCCTTCTAGTATCTCTCAAGAATATGCATTAATTTTTGCATCAAGAATGGTATAATATATCATCATACAATCTAAGATTTATACATATACATTCCAAAATAGATTCACACTACTTTGAATACTGAAGGTAGTCCTATGCTGTATTAGAAGCATTATGCCTTGTTCATATAATTCTATGCAATTCTTTAAATTTAGGCCTATTGTAAATCACTAAAAAATTAACAGTTAAATCATATTTACTAAACTCCAATTAACACTTCTTATGCATAAAAATATTACACTACCATTTCAGTACATATTAATTTGAAAGATTATCAGTCTGTAATAAAACTATATCAGAACAACAAAAAGATTACATTACCAGATGATCTACTGGATGCATATGGCTTGGAAGGTGCAGGAGCATACACACTAGCGGCAAAATGTTCAAATGTGGTTCTGTCCTTATGATTCTGAACAATTGTTTCTAAAGATTTATTCCTTTCTTCATAACTAACGTATGATTCAAGGAAAATAAATGAAACAAAGAAAACTATATTAATAACACAAAACAGAAGAAAGTGTACATTTAATTTATATCACCACAAAAAGTATCAATAATTCCTTTACCAATCCTGTACCTTTCCTAAGTACCAATTCAAATTTATTTTTTGGTTTAAGCATTTTTTTTTACTATAAAGGAACCGTTAAGAAGTATTTCATTAAAATGAAAACACATGATAAAAAAAAGCACTCTAAATTTAAAAAAAGTAATGGAATACAAGTTTTTATCATTAATTCTTTCATGAATTCAAATTTATTATTTGGTTTAAATATTTTCTTTACCATAAAAGATCCAGCAAACAATTAAATTTCACTAAAATGCACACATAATAAAATGTACAAAAGCACTCTAAATTTTAGAAAAATAATAAGTTTTTAATTTTTAAAATCTCTTTAATACCATTTTCTCAATATTTTGTTATCATTGTTTCTTTTCCACCATTCCTACACTTTAAGGTTTACACAATCAAACAAAAACTAATTTATATGCATGCTTCTTATGGATTCATTCAGTATGTGTAATAAGAAATCAAAAGCCAATACCCCCCAAAATAAAAGGATACTAATTCAGGTAAAGTGAAATTAAGGAACGTTTGGCTCGGTTGGCATTTATTGCTGTAGCTCTTACAAGCCCAGGAAGAACTTTATGCCCCACTATGGCACCATTGAACAGAGGCCCAAAAAATGGAATCTGTAAATAAAGAATATATAAACGTTTTAAAGCAATTAATTAGCATAAATGGAATTTCTATCAAATATACTTTTTAAAATAAAAACTTTATTGACAAAAAATTTCTTATTCCATGTACTAAAAATATATTTTACATATATTTTCCCAATTCTGATCTGATTAGATAAACTATTTCAATTGTAGAAAACTAACATTTAAAACTGTTCTAGAAATCAAGGCTCAGATTAATTGCTTTAATTCTTGGAAGCTATTTTGTTATTTTAAAATTAATCTGAAGCTGATCATTTCTTATGAAAATTTCTTCTAAACAAATAGAAACGAAAGTTAATATTACAGTTGCCTCTATATGAATATAAACAAAATTTAATATTTTAGTTACCTCTAAATAAATATAAACAAATGAATTTTTGTGTATTAGAGTATAACAAAACTATCATAAAATCAGATACAAATTATATTCCTATTTTTACTGGTAATATGCTTCAAGACCTATGACAGTTATGTGAAATTATAAATAATATCAAATGATATATATCATGTTAATTTAGTATACATAAACATGACAAAATTTAATTGGTAAATTATGCACATGTGTTAGTGATAGTTATTATTATGCACATAGTTATATGATATTATCAATAATATCAAATGATATATACAATATTCATTTAGTATACATAAACATGAAGAAATTTAATTGGTAAATTATGCACAAGGTAAGACATTACTAAAATAAAGTAATAAGGTGTATTCTGTGGTTCATTCTACATTCATAATGCACTTTTCTTCCCCTGTACAGCATATAGGAGAGCAAAGAAATTCAACCTTTCAGTCTAATTTTTTAAGAGAATTATGAAAATTATAAAAAATTAAAAAAATTATAAAAAAATTACATAACTTGCATTGTATTGTATGTCGTACAAATTCATTAGATGACATAACAATTAAAATTCTACTTTCTAATAAATCACTACATAAGCAATGAAACAATGGTCCAAATTCCTGTCCATGTAGTATGCTTCTACTTGAAATTGCTGTGAAAAGGCATTAATGAATGCTTCTGAACAGTTTTTACTCCATTACATCCTTTTCTCATTTGCTTCCTTCTTTCACTGTGCATATTTGTAACTAAGAAAGCATCTATTTACTTAACTTTTTCTGCAAACAGCTACTATGTATAGACATCAGCTTCTTACATATTGGGTTGGCAACTAAGTAATTGCGGATTTTTTTTAGAAAATCAAAGACAATTTTTTCATGGAACTAAATAACTTTATTCTGTACTGTATTGCCCATTTCGATCAATGACCTTTTGCCATCTTTCAGGCAGCATCTTAATCCATGTTCATAAAACTTCTGGTTTTTATTAGCAAAAAACTGAATCAGGTACGATTTGACATCATCATCATTATTGAAATTTTTACCATTTAAGGAGTTTTGTAAAGATCGAAACAAAAAGTAATCAGATGGTGCAAGGTCAGGACTACATGGTGGATGTGGCAAAACATCCCAACCAAGCTCCAATAATTTTTGCCTAAGTGACCAAAGATGTGTGTGGACCTTGTATTGTCATGATGGAATACAATAACTTTTCGATTTGTCAATTTGAGCCACTTTTCTTCAACTGCATTGTTTAATTTCGTTAGTTGTTCACAGAATTGATCATTCGGTTGGGTGGTAAGAGATCAAAGTAGACAATTCCTTTGTAATCCCAACAAACTGATAATAAAACCTTCTGTTTGATGAATATCAGCTGGTTCACCTGGCCTGCTCCACGATCTTTTCCATGCTTGATATTGTTGTAAACAACCCATTTTTCATCGACAGTTATCAGTCGTTTTAAAAATGGATCATTTTCATTACGTTTATTTCAGCCAAATCGCAGCTGTTAATGCGTTGCATTAAATGCGTTTCCTTTCAGTTCTTGTGAGGAACCCGTGTATTGAGTTTTTGAACATAGTCAAGTTGTTTTAAGTGATTTTCAATGGCATGTATGGGATACATGAAGCTTCTCTGCAATCTCACGTGTTGTACTGTGGACAATCCAAATCGATTATTGCTTTGATTAGGTTCGTGATCAACTTCAACTGGTAGGACCAGAGCGTTTTTCAATCTTTGAGTGAAAAATCACCAGAATCGAAATTTGGCAAACCTAATTTTGACACTGCCTGTTCTTTTAAGGCTTCATCACCATAAACAGCACATAACTTTTTATGAGCTTGCGATGCGTTTTTCCTTTGCAGAAATAAAAAAGCAAAATATGACGAAAATGTTCCTTTTGATTTTCCATTTTTCAATGAACGCCAAACGAAAACTACGCAACCGATCAAAAAACTTTTTTTACTGATTGACAGCTGAATTGCCAACTATCACATAACAAAATGTGTTTTACATTTGTACTACGTCTGCAACCCTAAAAATTCAACTGAAGCCATCTATGAGTGAAATCCGCAATTACTTAGTTGCCAACCCTATACATATGCTAATCAGGAGTGCAAAAGCATAACATGACTGGAGAGAGAGCGAGGAAAAAGGATGATGGGAATGATGAATGTGTGCTTCAATTAAGAAGAAAGATGCTATAAAAGAATTACAATGATGCAAAGACATACTACCTCTGTTGCCAATTTTCATCTGTTATTATTTCATTATAAGTAATCATAGCCATCACTGTACATCACAAATAGTTCAATAAAATAATCTAGCAATGTAGATTTATCTGTTTTATCTACTAATCCCCTAGATATCTAACCATACACATGACAGCTCATCAATTCCTCAATAAAGTTCTCAGTGAAAGTAAGCTATTTTCACCTTGATTATTGACTAAATTAAAAAATATTTTTAAATGAATTTCAATGAAACCAGAACTATTTTTTGATTTTACTGAGTTAACTAGTTCTTTATTTATGTTCTTGGAATTAGTTCTTATTCTGGCCTATTTTGTGTTGATTGGCCTAATTTGTGCTGAATGGCCTATTTTGTGTTCTTAGAAATATTTAAATCATAAGAACATCAACTTTTGGTATACCATATATGACAAGATTTTTAAAATTTTTGGCAACTAAAGCAGTTAAGTCACTACATAAATTTGTCCTTGGCCAAGAAAGTGCGAATTCACATTACTAGATGACTATTTATAAAATTCTAGAAATTGAAGAACACTTATTAAATATTTCCACTTTATTTCACACTTATTAAATATTTTCAGATCTAATTTCTTATGTTTCGAATTTAGAATGTTCCAATTTCACTGATGACTGTTATAATACAATCATGAATGCTTTAAGTAATTCTGATCTGTTATTAGAAATTACTGTTTTGGATTCTGATTTCGATAGTAAATTAGAAAACTCTGAAGAAAAAATAATTCCCAAAAATAAAATGCACTTTCAAAACACTGCACAGTTAACAATTTGCTCATTTGGCAGTCAGTCAGAACACGCAAACTGCCAGATCAGATGTTTGACTACATAATCTCAAAGAAATAATACAAATGGAATGTTGTAACAGGCATTCAATATCTCTTTTCTGATGATTTATGTTGAGTCTATAAAACCTTTTAAGGGTTCTTCTGATAATTTAATAGAATCTTTTTTAAATAATCTAGAATTATTCCAACTGAATAATATTACAAATGATGTTCAAAAGATTAAATTTATCCCCCCCCCAAAAAAAAATTGCTTGTTAGGCTCTGCTAAAACTTTTGTAAATTCTTAATACAGTGTCAAAACATATGACGCATTAAAAGAACATTTGTTGGAAGAATTTTCCTCTAAACTTAATAGTGCAGATTTGCATAAACTGATGCCTAAAAGACATTTAACCCTCTCTCTGCGTATTTTTTTTTTTATCAAAATAAGTTCAAAAATAGCTTCAAAGGTTCAAAGGTAGTTTTTTATTACATATTTCAAATCTACATATATTTTAGGGTTAAAATATGTAACAAATTTTTTAAACAGAGTTCCCCCCCCCCCCAAATACAGAATTAGAAACTACTATCAGTGTCAGAAATATCATCAAGAATATAGGTTATATCACTCGCGAAATGCTTCCTGCCAGACATCTTCGAGCTCTCAAAAACGCGCACAAAATGTTACATTACGTATTCTTGTATATTTGGCAGAAATGCGGACAACTAATGCCATCTGTTAGCCTACATCTAAATAAACAATTAAATATCACAGAAGAGATGAAAGGAAACCTTGAATAGAGAAAGAGCAGGTTTCACAGTTAAATAGATGGCAAAAATTCATCCCTGCGGAAATCGCGGGTTGTGCAAATTTTGCTACTTTTACATTGCCCGTGGAAATCGCGGGATGCGCAGCGAGAAGGTTAAAGTTAATTCAATATTTATTCGATTATTTATTGCTATGAGAGAAAAAGTTAAAATTATGTCTTCCATTTTTTATTATCTGAAAAATGGTATTCCAGAAAACTCTAATAAAATTTTATCATATGGTTGTAAAACTTAAGTGAATTTAAAGATACATTAAAGATTTATGAAAAACTTCTGTTTACTTCCAAACAAACTAAAATTTTCTAGTGATTTGAAACCTAAGAATAATAATTGTCATAAATCAGTGAATAATTAGACAATTACAGAACTTCCCAAAAAGCCTACCCAACCTATTATCTGCTACAATTGTGTGTCTAACGGCTATCAAAGTTTTAGCTTTCTCATAAACACCCTAAATATTTTTTCCACAATTCATTTGACATAAATTATCTCCTTGTACTAAGAAAGCAAATAATGCAACATTTTCATTATCACAAAAATCAATCAAGTTATGGTACAGTCACACCCACTTAATTTTTTGTTAATCCAAATCAATATTTCTGAAATCATCATTCCATTAGCTGACCTTAGTAGTCAAGCTATTATAACTAACACATAACAAATCAAAAATTGGTTTTCCAGTACTTAAGAAAACTTTATTATCATTATCATAACTTTGTGATTACATTGTGCATCCAACAGGCTTTTTCACAGGTTGCTT